CAAAATTCCATAAACCCCTTCAAAACTCCCTAAACCCCTTCAAAATTCCGTAAACCCCTCCAAAATTCCAGAAACCCCTTCAAAATTCCAGAAACCCCTCCAAAATTCCAGAAACCCCCTCAAAATTCCATAAACCCCTTCAAAACTCCCTAAACCCCTTCAAAATTCCGTAAACCCCTCCAAAATTCCAGAAACCCCTTCAAAATTCCAGAAACCCCTTCAAAACTCCATGAACCCCTCTAAAATTCCATAAACCCCCTCAAAATTCCGTAAACCCCTTCAAAACTCCATAAACCCTTCAAAATTCCATGAACCCCTTCAAAATTCCATGAACCCCTTCAAAATTCCAGAAATCCCTTCAAAACTCCAGAAACCCCTTAAAGATTCCATAAACCCCTTCAAAACTCCATAAACCCCTTCAAAATTCCATGAACCCCTTCAAAATTCCAGAAACCCCTTCAAAACTCCATAAACCCTTCAAAATTCCATGAACCCCTTCAAAACTCCCTAAACCGCTTCAAAATTCCATGAACCCCTATAAGCTCCATAACCCGGAGGCCCAAACTCCGCTGCTGAGCGGAGCAGTTGCCACGCGGGTCACACCCCCCCCAGCCCATTCCGGGCGGGAATTGCCAGCCCGGGGGGCACTGACCAGCCCGCACGGCCTCGTTCTCCAGCACCACCCTGTTGAAGATGAAGCGGATGTACTTGGAGGGCGCGGGCGTGCGCGGGCCCTCCCTGCCCAGCAGGTGCAGGATCTTGGTGGCCAGCACGGTGTGCTCGCAGTCCTCGATGAACTCGCACAGGTGGGCCAGCCCCGCCTCCTTGCTCTCGGGGTTCTCCTCGATGATGCCGATGATGCAGTCCACGATGGCCCTCTTGTACTCGAAGCCGCCCTGCGGGGGGAGAGCCCAGGGCGGTGACCCCGCGGTGCTCCCGCGGCAAAGCTCCACGGGAGAGACGGGGGTTGGTGGGGAATGAGAGAGGAGAAGGAGCTGGAGACCCAGCAGGGCAGCACAGCCCCCCTGGCACAGCGGCTGCACAGATCTGGGATGGCCCAGCTCCGACTCTGAGCACGCTGCACCACCAGCAGGGTGCTGGGAGGGAGCCACTGCACCTCCCATGATCCACATCTGGGAGGAGACCCCTCAGTCCCTGCACCTCCCATGATCCACATCTGGGAAGAGACCCCTCAGTCCCTGCACCTCCCATGACCCACATTTGGGGGGAAACTCTCCAATCACTGCACTTCCCATGATCCAAATCTGGGATCCTTCAGTCCCTGCGCTTCCCATGACACATCTGACACAGGAGACCCTTCCCCACACAAAGCAGAGCCCCCAGGTCC